CCAGGGGCAGATAAATAATAATTTTCTAAATTTCTTAGGAGCCCTGCGGGCCATATAGAATGGCCTGGTGGGCTGCATCCAGCCTGCAGGACACATTTTGCCCACACCTGAGCTAGACAGCCCCTGCACCAAAATAAGCATGAACTCGCAGTGCTCTGGTTGCAGACAAATGCTGAAACTGCAGGCACCCAGCTGCACCCCCAGACTGAACACCCCAGTCTTCTCTCGCTACAAAGATGGGGATGTTCCCAAAGTGTTCCTAAGCAACTTCAAAAGCCAAGCACACTGATGGAAGTTGCCAAAAGAAGAGTTCATGAAACACATGGCTGCTCTGGTCGAGGGCAACGTCCATTGGCCTGAATAGCTTGCCCTTGGAATCAGCGGACAACTACAACACCTTTAGAGAGGCAGTGCATGTAAGGTTTAAGTTAGGTCCAGATTACTTCCAAGAAAAATTCCATAGTGCAAGCCCCCAGCTGGGAAAGACCATGAACGAATTTGGGGCCCTGCTATGGGACTCATACTAGAAATGGAAGAAGAGAGCTGAAGCTTCCACCGTGGAGGAGATGGACATGCTTATGGTGCTGGACCAATTCTATTACAAATGCCCGAGGGAAATTAAAACCCTTGTCAAGGATAGGGGCCCTAAAATAATCTGGGAAACTACAAAAATTGCAGACCAGCTGTTGCTAAATAGACAGGGGCTGAACCAAAAGCTTTCCTACTCTGGGAAGGAACAAAAGGGGTTCCACAAAGGGGGGAAGGGAGGGCCAGTCCCAAAAGGGGAAAGAGGGCCACCTCCTGCTGAGCACAAGGCGGCCCCAGATTCGGACAAACCACCCAAGTCGGAAAAGAGGGGGTGCTATAACTGCAGGGAGCTGGGCCACATCAGGCCCAAATGCCCACAGCTAAGCAACAAACCCAAGCCAGTCAGACATGCAACAGCTGTAAACAGTGAGGAGGGAGACCCAAGCCACTCTGAGGGGTGTACCTGTTGCTACAGATTTACTAACCCAGAGAAGGTGATGGCCACCCACCGAACTACTATAATGGTAAACGGGAGAACACTTGTTGGGGAACTGGACACAGGGGCCAGTGTGTCATTAATCAATATCAACCTTGTTTCACCTGTGGATACAGTCCTGGGGAAGACCCTTACCATTCAAGGGGTGCAGGCCCAGCCATTCGACATACCGGTAACCTGTTCCCCCGTTGAGTGGAGAGGCTGCAGGATGTGCATAGAACTAGAAGTGCTGGAAGGGGCTCCTATTTCCATCCTGGTGGGACGTGATGTTTTGGAGCTAGAATACCTGCAATGGGAGGAGGACCACCTCCTAGAGCCTTACCATGTTAATGTGGTGACTCATCCACAGAGCAGAAAGGCTGAGATGGGAGGAGTAGAAACTTCCCAGGGCCCGGTCACCCAATTGGCTGCTGGGGCAGAGTGGGAGAAGGGAGAGACTCAGACTCCCTCTGACTGCGACCAGCCACCAGCCATTGAGGAAACTAGCAACCTCAAGGTTGGGTTTAGTGACAGCCGCAGGAAGGAGTCTGGTCAGTCAGTGGCAGAGGAAACTGAGACTCTTGGGGAGAAGTTAGAGGACATCCCTAAGGGTGAAGGTGCACTCTTTACAGCAGCACCAGAACTCCCTGCTGGTTGCTTAGCCAGGCAAGAGGAGTTCAAGCAGGAGGTTCTAGAGGACCCCAGCTTGGAGGAATTCCAGCAGATGGCTCAGGAGCAAGAGACAGAGTTCACCCCGTCACCAGCTCATAGTACCTCGTAAGTTCAGACAACCATTGCTTTCCATGGCTAATGATTTACCTTGTGCTGGCCACATGGGTAGGGAATGGACACGCCAGCGGCTGCAGGTGAACTTTTATTGGCCAGAGTGTCTCCCCTCCTTTAGTTCCACCCCGGCTCCAAACCAGGAGCTGGGAGATGCAGGGAAAGGGTAGTTTGCCCAAAACAGGGCATTTTTCCCTGCACCAAAGCACATGGGTGGGGGCATGCACAGTGGCAAAAAGTAGCAGCACAAATTTGTGCTGCTACTATTTTACTTTCATGTTTTGCACTTATACCTCCTCTGCAAAGTCACAGTGGTTATGTCTGTACTGGAGTCAACCTAAAGGTCATCATCAGTCCCATACACAAGATCTATTTACACTCTGAATCCCCGCTCTGCTGAGCTTCCAAGAACAAGATCAACTAACCCTATCACTGCTAGCTTCCTAGCCCTCCCCTTTCTGAACTCTGGAACTTTTCTATACCCTGTAGGCCTCCAGCACAGGAAGCCTGCCAGCAGAAAGCCTTCATTACCCCATTTCTGACTTTAGCTTCTCTGGGCGTATCCCAATATGCAGAGGTGTGTGCTTGCAGTTGCAGTAATTTGTGCTGCTACTTTTTGCTGCTGCACACACCACTGCACATGCACTTTAGTGCAGGGCAAAATGCCTCACTTTGGGCAAACTGCCCTTTCCCCACTTCTCCTGGCTCCTGGTGTGCTAGAGGAGCCAAGCCAGAACTAAAGGAGGGGAAATACTCTGGCCAGCAGCCAGAGCATCTCCCTGGAGGACTGAGCATCTGGATGCAGCCTCTGTGCCTGACTTCCTCTCTCTACTGTCTTTAAGTAGAGCCAAGCCAGGAAAGAGAGGCACATAGTTTATAAACCAGTTTCTGAAGGAACTCCACTTTGTAAATAAGAAGTATGATGTGAATAGTGTTGAGGTAGCCATACCTCATATAGAGGTATGATACAGATATGGAGGGTTGGCTCCTGTGGCTCAGACTGGATGAGGTCAACCTCAAGGTCAAACCTAAATACGGATAGAGATCTGTGAACAGTCCTTCACCTGTAACAGACTTAAAGACCCCTCCATAGTCACCTCCTCCAGCTTTACACACCACCATTGCTTAGAAAATATTTGATTACTATCCTGGGACTCATTTTTTATCCAATATTTTTATTATGAAGACAAAATGTAAAACACCTTGCTGAACTCCAGATAATTTTTTTTGTATATCATTCCTCTTATCTAGACAGTGTTTTATAATGAAAATCATAATAAAGCATTTGGATTATACTGGCAAGACCTAAGCCTCACAAATCCAATTCAACTACAGTATAAGTAGCTTATCATATAGCATTCTCCTCTCAGCACAGACACTGAAGCATGAGAATTACAAAATGCATGTGGCTGAAAGACATAAGACCATCTTTCAAGCAGCATTACCACCTGTTCCATGTATGACCCATGTAGGATCATATGAAAACACACAGGTTGCAGGTACCAGAAACGGGCAATGCCCACTCGATTCTGAGGGAACTATGATGCCAAAATCCGAAGGAGAGCCCTGAGCACCATACAATAGTCATAAGATCCACAGGATTAGAATTGTGTTTCAGTCTTAGCCAAAGCCTCCCAGACTATAGAAGTAATGGGAAGTTTGGTCTTTTCTATTGAAGGATGTGATCTGATTACTTTTGTTTTGGCCAGTGGTAAGAGAACCAGCATTTCAAGTTTCTTGAGAGAGGCTCTTTGTGAACAAAGGACTGGCTTGCTGCTTCTGAAGAACGAAGAAATGTAAACACAACTGAAATGTATGTTTTCTTCTCTTTGTGAGGAGCACTGTGGATTTGACAGCTCTGTTTAATACCCCACAATAGCCAGTTTATTGTAAGAACCTTGTTTACCCGAGGCATCTGTAAGCAATATACGTTTTAGTAGTCTGAATGAATAAGTTTTGATGTCATTTGATACTGAAGATGTGGTTTGCCCTTAATAACGTGCTGCCCTTGGATACCAGACCTGGCTTCTATTCGGCATTCCTTACTTAGACACTAGAGTCACTAGTGCATTTTCAAAAGTGGGTGTTGATATAAGGAGCTCAACTTTGAGGCTGACTTTCAGAGAAGATAAGCATGACCAGAAATAACGACATTCAGTTGGTGCTCATCTCTTCTGCAAATCAGTCCCAACATGAGCCACCTAGACATTAATACAAATAAAATTAAATTAATTCAACAAAAAGTGTGTGCGCTTTTTTTAAAAGCAAATCTAAATATTCTCTCTCACAACAAAATGTAGGCTAGTCCTATCCAGCACAGCGAGCACCAGAACAGCCAGCCATGGAGGTACCACTGCTATAAACTTTCATAGTTCCATGGAAGTCAGTGAGACTATGATGCTAATAAAGATCTGCCTCTGAGAAGCTGTCATTTCCCAAGGTCAAGGAGAAAAGTGGGTGGCAGGCAAATGTGAAGCCAATCAAATAAAGTCAAGCTTTAAGGAAGCAAGCATTACAAGAGTAATCTTTACTTCTCTAAAGAAACTCTGGCTGCTTGCTCTTGGAGACTAAAAAGTATTCACAGATTCTTGCAGATTCTCTGTAGGAAGAGGCCTAGTAGAAGAGCCTGAATATTGGGGCCCAGTGGCTGGCACATCATCTTCCCACCCTCTTCTTTCATGATGCAACTTGAAGAATTAAAGGTAATACCACAAATCTATGTCTAGTGTGAGCAACAGCTGGCAGCAATCGGCCATGTGCCACATAGACAGCTGATGGCTAACACTCAACTGCGCTGGGGGGATCCTCTTTAACTATGGGACACAGACCTAATGATGAGAAAGATATTCACCTATTCTCTTTATAGGCAGGAATCAAGCAAACAACCATCACTGTCCAATGAAAGATTCCAACAAAATGGAATTAGGACCATTTCAGTAGTCTTTAAACAAAGTAATTTAAGATTCCATTCCAATGCCTGGTTGCTATAATATAGACTTTCAAAGTGCACCTTGGAGGCCCATAAAACATTTTGGAACAGTTAATGATTTTATAGAAGGAGGCTGTAAAAACATTGCTGAGTTGTTACATCCAACTGCAGTGCGTTCTGCAAGGTACAGGAGCACGTAGGAGCCTGATGGAGGGTGCTCTGGCAGCAAGAACAAAGACCATTTTGTTGTTTCAGACAGAATAGAAGTGAGCAGTGGGAACCTACCTTAGAAGATTTTCTGCACCAGCTCTCAACCTTACTGCTTTCAGGATCTGTTGGTTTAGGATAGCTCTTTGATTTTGTAGCTTGCTTCTGCCTGTCTCAGCGAGTGGGTTACAGCCCTAGAGTTATGTCAGAGGTGCACAACAAAAAGCATGAGCAACAACAATTTGTAATTACATCAAAGATAAAAAAATAGAATGTGTAAAACATGAAACAAACCAATTTGATTAAAGAACATTCTTTATAGTTTAGCCTTAAAAGAGTTAATTGATAACAAAGTGAAATAAAATAAAAAATGTAATGGCATAATTTTCTCGTTACCCTAGAGGAAGTTCATTTATCCATTGTCAACGATGTCTGTGTGACTCCAAAAAAACCATGCCAATCTCAGTATCATTCTACTAGATTCATACACCTGAGCTCCTGATGGACTGTCACAAAAACCACATCACGACAAAAAAAACCCAAACAGTGAAAGGTTGGGGAACATGGCCACCTTGTGTTATTGCCTTACATTCTCACATTATGTAGAGCTGGGTGAGAAATGGTTTTCTCATCCCATGAAAATTTTCAGAGTTTCAACTTTTTTGTATTCTACATCGGGACAAGACTGAGATGTATCACAATTTTTAATGGCAAATGGGAGGGACAGACCTCAAAAATCTCTCCAATCATCCAGAACAGGGACTGAGAGACCTCAGCCTTTCATGTCTCCAGTGGATTCCTCCTCTGGTTTTACCAAAAAATCTATCCCGAACTTAGTTTCATTTTTGACAACTCAGCTTTGACAAGTAAAAGAATTCCCAACAATTTCTGTGTAGGCATTCATTTATCCAGAAGGCACAGCCATGCTAATACCAGCACTTCAGAAGGCATCATTTTGATAGTGCATGGTGCTGTCCTTACCTGTTTGAAATGTAGTCCTGTCTCAGGTTGGTAAATGTAGAACCATTGATCAGGCAATAGAGAAAATGTACTCACTATAAGCCAGGCCATAGGGTTTGTTCATATGGCACTGCCTTGTGTCTTGAAGACATACTCATAATGCCAGTCCAGATTTATACTGGTTTAATTGAGAGCCGAACTGCAGTTTGAGAAGTTTGCATTTTACAAAGTATCCAGTAAAGTTGCAGGAAAATTTGTGCAAGCATCTATAGCAAGAAAAAGGTTGCCAGATTGCCTGACAAACATGTCAAATTTAATTACTCTCTAGTTACTGATGTGTTTCTGCACTGAAACCAATTACCGTGCGCTGAAGTTTTGAATTTCTGATCCCCACAGTAAGTGTCTTCTTTTATCATGTATCGACTGTTGAGGAGGCTGGTGGATGGAGTTAATTTTATTTTGTTAGAGAAAACAGGGATGTGTAGCAGACTTTTTTGTTCATTCAAGGCCAACTGGATAGTTCTCTCAGACATGAAAGTGGTCAGAGAGAACTGCAATGCTAGAGAACTTGATACTGCTTTATACATATAGATGCAGTCAAATGTGAATGGAGGATTGTTATATCTGATGATATGGCAGAGTATTGCAATATGTAAGCCATTTCTTGATCTAGTGGCTGCTGATCTATGTTCTTATCCTGCAGCCTTTTCTTTGCTGCCACTTTTCCACCTGCTTTGCTTTTTTCCTCCATTTTATATTGTATACTTTCTGCTTTTCTTGCAGCTGCCTAAGATCTTTTTCTCTCCATCCACTCTGACGTGTTTACTCAAAATTTTGCATTCCTCTGCAGGCTTTCTCTTGCTCCTCCTACCAACCTGAAGCACCTGGTTTTTGTCTTAAGCTTTCTGCATTTTTGCTTACATTATACAAGTCTGCATTATTTTCTTACATCATCTCTCCCTTCTGCTTCAACTACTTCTAAGTATCTATTCTCAGTCCTCCTTTGTATCCTTCTCCCATCCTTGGTTATAGTGTTGCTCTCTATCCCAAGACTTCAGTGCCCTTCTGTGTGCTAGGTAGCCTTCACGGGCACATCCAGACCAGCAGGAACATGTGGTTTCCCTGGGTACAAGTAGCAATGGCACATCTTATGCCTTTGCTGCTTATCCCCAGAGGACACCCATGCCATGCGCTCTTAGATTTGTGGGAAACCTTTTAGATTATCCTGATCCCAAATTCTCTGAAGTCTTTCACTGATTTCAGTGGGCTTTTGATTAGCCCCAACTCAAAAGACACAAGAACACAGAAAGCTAGAATGACGAAACTGCAGTGACATTAAACTCCATGCAAAGGGAAATGATGGAGCAAAAAGACTTCCTTCCATGTCAGTGCCAGCCACCAATATAGTCCTGTGCAAGTCCTTCAGTGCAAAAACAGTTTCTTGTGGGTCCTAGCACCAATATGGCTGAGGAAAGAACAAGGAGACAGGACTGACCCAATGCAGTACTGTCACTGTTGGTGTACTGGATGTGCTCCCCCTGGCACTGCTGTACTGTACTTTTATCTCCACGATGAAAGCATGGCAGGGCTATGTACAGGTCTGACTCCTCAAGCCCTACAAGGGGCCCATGATCAAGATTTTATTATCTGTTGATAGAACCTGCCATGCTGTACAATTTCCCTTGTGTACAGAGTCCCTTAGCTGCTGTCTATGGAAAGTTCATGGACAAGCTGGCTGTACTAGAAATCAAGCTGCTAGAGTGCTGGTGGACAGGAGCCTGGGATCTAGAGTAGCTAGTCTAGTGTAGTATATTTTCATGCATCTGCAATGGGAAACAAACACAATCTGAAAATTACTTCAGCAAAAATCCCATGATGGGGAAGCCCCGTTGTATTTTCCTATCTCTAGGACTTCCCTTCTCCCATAACACACATACTTTTTTTCTTTTGCAGCAAGGTATAATTTGGTTCCATTTGTACAAAGCCATATTCCTGTTATCTCTGCAGAGTTCACACAACTCAGTGGGCTGGATGCAGTGCTGTAGGAATGAAGTTTGGTGCCCAGGGCAAAACCCGCAGAGGCAGCCCGCCCTCGCCCCACACACAGATCCAAGGGGCACAAGCCCCCCAATGCTTGCCCAGAAGTGCATGCAATGGCAGGAACCACCCATCCCTCATCCCATGCCCTTCTCCAAATGAGCCACTCCTGACTCTGTCCCATCCCCTGCCCTGGCTGGGCAGTGCCCACTGGTGCCTCTTTGCTTTGGTGCCCAGGGGAGTTGCCCTGCTCACCCCTTCCTTGCTACAGCACTGGATGGATGCTACCCTACCTTACACACCATCAGTAAAATCACTGATTATGTTCCAACTGAAGGACCTATGAAATGAGTAGTGATGCATTCATCGCAAAGAATATACCTTGATTCTCAGTCTGCAGGACAGGCAATTAGAAAAGTACACTAATTTTACATGTAAACTGAATACATTTGCTACAGCACCAATTCAAGAAAGTAAACACAGAACTCTGAACTCTGTCCTGATATTTTTTAGAATCACATTTTCAGAGTGTAACTGCAATTTATATAGATATTTTCTGCCAAGACACAAGTGGTTTTATTGCTTCATAAACTATATATGTCAAAAGTTCCATTCTATATTGTTCCGCTTAGTTGTATATCAGTGATAAACTAAAGAATCGGGAAGTTAATGTGTTTGGGTTTTTTTATATAGCCTTACCAGGGGACCAGCCCATATGACACATGCTTTAGAATTGTATTATATGCTATTTATGTGCACTATAAAGTTATTTTTGGTAAGAAAATGAGATCACACAGAAAACATGATGTGTGCTTTCAACATTTGCCTATGCAGAGCCTAGCATTGTTTAATAACAATCTTCTAGCTGATCAAGTAGTAACACTGACATATTCCATTAGGGCTTCTACCTAATTCTTACTTAGAGGGAAAGTATATTATTCCAGAAGGATTTAAAGTAGGAATGTGAGATTCCTCATTCCTCTATCAGGGATGCTTAGGATGTAGAGGAGTATAGAGACAAGAAGAAATTAGTGAGTAATTGTACCCCTAAAATGTATGCAAGTTTCTATATTTAATGTATTTTTACATTAATAATATCACTATTTTAAGTCCTCATGACATCCAAGGAAATTAAAATCTGATCAGCCATTGGTAAACCAGTTACTAGTTGCATGAATTTAGTTGCAAGCCAATACTTCAAAGTTTAAGAATATCTGCTTTGGAGTTGAGCCCAGATTTCAATTTCAGTCCTTGCAGATTTTCTGACTGTAAATATTTATTTTGGATCTAGTGAGTGTGAATGAAGGAAATACATAGAGCAAATAGATCCATGCATACTGCAGCCTCTTGGATATTAAACATGGCTGAGAATAAAAAGAGCTACAGAAGTCAAACACATCATTTCCATTGTGTGTTTAGACTTGTCACAGTTCCCTTTGACATAATTAATTTAGAACCTAATAGGCAGAACTGAAAATAGCCAGGTTTAAGACTTTGTCCCTCTGACTCTCAATTTCTCTTGACAATGGTCCACAACAAGCTAATACTTGGATCTGTTAGCCAAAAGAACAGTCACGTTTCAGGCCAGGAAATAGACCTGGACTTGCACAAAGTACAAATCTAGGAAAGACTTCCTCCTATCTCTCAACTTTATCAAAGTTACTTGGCATGTTTCACTTGGCACATAGTATAACTCTATAGAATAGGGTAACTAATATCTTGGATACTTAGGAGTACGTCCTTCAGTCAAACAGGTCCTGGTGTCCAAACTAAGGAGAGAATTACCAGTGTCAAATGCACAAAGGCAATATAAGTAAATTAAGTAGTCATTTCACTGCCAAAACTTAACATGTTTATAATATTTTAAATATCATCAATATGAATAATGTTATAAATAATTTAAATTCTATTATGAATACTAGTGTACAAAATAACACCCATATGATTGATCTCTGCCATGGTAATCTGAATTTGAATTTGTTAACCAAACTTGACATTTTTCCTAAAAAGTTCAAACTTGAAAGCAATTCAGTGAAATCAAGAGCTTTTAACTGAATGTACTTCATAAAAACTCCAGAGCACTATACTGGACACGAATAATTACATTTCTTTTGCCTCACGTACATTAAAATTACATAATCCAAGCTCTTAAATGCCGTCACAATTTCTAAAAGAACAATGGATTCAGAAATAATTT